GGGGGGGGGGGGGGGGGGGATCTTTTTCTTGAATTCTCATTAGCATGTTTATTATTAGTATTTTATATTCTTTGGATTTTAAGCATTTCACTTTTACAAAATCAATCTGTTAACAGTGAGAACTAGGAAAGCAGTGTGGAATCAGAAATATAATGGGCCACTGACTAGGACAGAACTAGAAAATTAAGTTCTTGATTTATACAGTGTAATGGCTGTTGAAGTCTGGTACTTAATTGGATTTTTAATCAGGACTTGACAATGATGATGAAACTCACCCACATACCTCAACCTTGGTGGTCTAGGCATGTGATCTGATCCTCAGGAATTATAGAATCTAATGCCCAAAAGTGGACCAGGTATTCACTATTCCAGTTCTGGAAGTATTGTTAACTAACCTAGGGAACATAATGATATTGCTAAATATCTTAAATAGGGATTTCATTAGCTAGTTTGCACTTAGTATATGGACTTTGTAAATCCTTTGTATAGAGAGGGTTTTCTTTCACTGGAGTATGCTTATAGATAATGCTAGTTAATATCTAGAAAACTAATGTTTAAATGCTTATTACTAAAGAGAGTAAGCTATTCCTTATTTGGTTTCTAAGAAAATACAGAGTTTCTGAGTATATGACATTCTTTTACCTTCCTTTCTGTATCTTTCCTACGGACATTCTGTAAATGGTTATTTACATTCTGCAGGTTATATGTCTCAGTAAAATAGGGACCTAGTTGTTTTGCCATTTTTATTGTGCTAATTTTCATCTTTTAATTAAATAAAAATTTAAATATGTCTTTGAAAATGCCTATATTTTGGACTGAAGGATATACCAGATTAAAAGGTTTGAGTTTTAAACATTCTGTTATCACTAGAAATAAGATTAGAGCACATTCATTCAGTGTTTTAGTTACGTGAAATATAGCATTAAAAATATTTTTGTAAGAAATCTACAAAATGGATTAAAGACAATAAATTTCAATAGTATCAACAGTTGGAAAAATAAACTATCTTTTTCAAGAAGTTATAGTTTAATCTCAGTATGTCATAAGAGGTTTGATCTGCGTGGATTTCTGATGAAAAGAAAATACAAGCTTTTAATTAAGTCTTGTTTATAGAGTATTGGCCAATATCTAAAAAATACAGATTGCATAATTTTATCTTTCTAGTTTTCATCTATAATTTGCCAAAATTTATTTTTGTGTGGCTGCTTTACTTTTAAGTCTTTAGATACTGTAGAATTAATTAAGTGAAGATGATTTTTTAATCAATTTCTTTGTGTAAAAAGTTATGGACTTAACTTTATTTCCAAGTTTTTCTACAAGACTTTTAGTCATGAACATTAAAAGGCAAATCTTTGTTTTATGACATTGAGAAAAGGGTTCAGGGGTTTATAGTACCAAACCATTATTGTGTAATTTTAAAGATAATGAGTCTGTAATTGCTTCCATGTGCTCAGCTTTTTCTGGTGCATGCCTTAGTTTTCATAACTTCTAAAAGGCTTCTTGTTACAATTTTTTGTTGATGTATTAAGTTGAACCATATGAAATTGCTGTTTCTGTAAGTTAAAAAAGCGGTGAAATTTGGTAATTTCATGATTCAATTTAATATTTAAATGTTCACATTTTTTCACCCCAGGAAAATTAGAGCAGATGTTGAATGGTAAAGTATTTTGAAAAATTACATATTTTTGAAAACACCTATATTTTGGACTGAAGGACATAACATTTTTCTTTAAAAAAAGTTTTTAGGGTTTTAGAGTGAGAGGAAGGAAGAGGGAGAGGGGGGAGAGACTGAGAGAGATATCGATGGGAGAGAAACTTTGATTGGCTGCCTCCTGCTTGCCCCTTACTGAGGATTGAGCCCACAATCCAGGCATGTGCCCTGACCTGGAACAGAATCAGTGACCTCACTGCATGGGATGATGCGCAACCAATTGAGCCACTCCTGCCAGGGCCAAGCATTTTTCATTGTGATATTTTTAATTACTATCTTCAGAAAATACTATAGTTCTTAAAAGAAACAAACATTTACTATATTTGAATACGTTTGACATTTCTGTTGTTTATTTTTCTATTTTATCTATAATAAATAGTACTTACTGTTTTGATTTTAAAAGGAAAATCAACTATATTATGATCCTTCCACTGGAATTTATTACTACTGTGATGTGGAAAGTGGTCGATATCAATTTCATTCTCGAGTAGATTTGCAGCCTTATCAGACTTCTGGCACAAAACAAAGTAAAGATAAAAAGTTGAAGAAGAAAAGAAAGGATCCAGATTCTTCTACAGCAAATGAGGAAAAGGTATTGTCTTCTAATTTTTAAAATTTACATAATGGTGATGTAGTTAAGTCAAAATTTTTGATGAAACTGAAAATCATTCAGTAACTGCATTTCAAACATATCCATTAAAGTAACAAGGTATCAGAATCTATTAATTAAGGAGCATTTGTTTACATTGGTCTGTTTCACAAATTCTCAGTCACTAGAAGTCAAGGAATTTCTTAAAAGTTTGAAGGAGGTATATTTAGGGCAGATAAGATACTCTTAAGTTACATAACTTGGAAGAAGAACTTTCAGACCCTTAGTTGATAAGTTGATGTCAGTGCACAATTCACAATAAAACAAAAACATAGTTTATAAGTAGATGTATATAAAAATTCTGCTTTCTTAGTCACTTTGAGCAATTTCTTACCTATATTATGTTAGCAAACATTTAAAAAAATCCATTTCTGGCAAATAGAGAGTAGATATATTTTCATTAGTAGTGTAAATTGGTATCTTTTTGGAAAATAGATGGGCTGTATCAATAACTGTAAAAATGTTGATCTTTTTAAATTGGAAAATCTCATTTCTGGTAATTTATTGTCTATATACTAATATATGAAAGCCTAAGCAACCAGCGGAGTGGCTGGTAGTTATGACATGCACTGACCACTAAGGGGCAGATGCTCAATGCAGGAGTGGAAACCACAGGCATGGAAACATGGAACAGACTGATGAATCTCAGAGGGAAGGAGGGAGTGGGGGAGGGCGGGAAGAGATTAACCAAAGGTCTTATATGCATACTAGAGGCCCAGTGCACGAATGCACCTGTGGGGTCCCTTGGCCTGCCTGCACCCTCTCACAATCCGGGACCCCTCAGGGGATGTTGGACTGCCGGTTTCGGGTCCGATCCCCACAGGCCAGGCTGAGGGACTCCACCTGCTGGAGGGACCCTGCTCCCTCTGCAGATGCCCTTTAAGCCCCTGTGCCACCCCAGGTGCGGCTGGCCAGGGAGGGGAGGAACCATGGGAGGTTGGCTCCAGGGCATGTCCGGCCCGTCTCGCCCAGTCCAGCCCCGCCAGCCACCTTCTAATTAATTTCCTTTCAATTTGCACGAATCTGTGCACCAGACCTCTAGTTATTTTATAAATCCAAAGAAAGAAAAATGCCTTTGTTTAATTATATAGCAAATTTATAAGAACAGAGAGTTAATAGTTCAAATGACCCAAAAGATACTGGTTAAGAAAATGATAATACATTTAATTGGAAAAGCATTATTTATGACTTAAAATGGTAGTTGTAAGGAGTGATGGAAATTTTTTAAAAAAATGTATTTTTATTGATTTCAGAAAAGAAGGGAGAGGGAGAGAGAGATAGAAACATCAATGATGAGAGAGAATCATTGATCAGCTGCCTCCTGCACGCCCCCCTACTGGGGAACATTCCGCAACCTGAGCATATGCCCTTGACTGGAATTGAACCTGGGACCCTTCAGTCTGCAGGCTGATGCTCTATCCACTGAGCAAAACCAGCTAGGGCAGAGTGAGGGGAATTTTAAAAATAGTTACAATACGTTAAATTGAAAAAAGGAAAATAACAAAAAAGTTACTAATGCTTGCTCTTATTTCTACTCACTTCACAGATAAGGTTCATGGTTTATAGGCAGGAAAGGAGGCTTATTGTGAATTCTGGCAACTATCTGATACTTTACTCTTAAGATATTATCTCATGTTTTCTCTTCTTCACCAAGGGGAAAACATTTTTAAATGTATAATACCAAAGTTCAAAGATGGAATTGGTATTTTGTTGAATTTATCTTCTGTTCTTTGTTTGATTTGTTATTTCTCTGCTGTTTTCACTGAGTACATAAGAACTGAAAAATATGTGACTAAAATACTAAAAATGATTTTTCTCTTTGCTCTCGAGAATTATGTTTTAATCACTCCTACTTGTTACTAGTGGTTGAACCGTTTGAGAAGATAGGTTGTAAAATTACTTCTGCCTAGCAATAAGAAAAGAACATATACCTATCATCAAAAGGCCTTTCCTGACAAAGTAGAGAATGACATTTGAAAGCATTCGGTGCGATTTTGGTTTAGTTTAGCTCCCATAACTGCTTATCTCTGTTTTTATTTTATTTATCTCTGTTTTAATTTAATTTTTAATCCTCACCCGAGGACATGCTGAGAGAGGGAGAGAGAGAGAGAGAGAGAGGGAGAGAGAGAGAGAGAGAAAGAAAGAAACATTGATCGACTGCCTTTCATAGGCGCCTCAACCAGGAATTGAACCACAACTCTTGGGTGCACAGGATGATGCTCAACCAACTGAGCCACTCTGACTGGGACCATAAATGCACCTTTTTATCATCCTTCGAAAATATGTGAACTCCAGGACAGGGACTTAGGAAAAAATTCTGATGAAATTTTGAGAATTCCTTGAGAATTCTAAAAGGTAGTTGTGAAGCATGGGAGACCAGTTAAGACAGAGGTCCTCAAACTTTTTAAACAGGGGGCCAGTTCACTGTCCATCAGACATTCCACGCATGCGCACTGTGGGCCCGGGATGAGTCGGCTGCTAAGCAGGACAGGCAGCGGCGAAAAAAACCCCCGGCGGGCCGGATAAATGTTTTCAGCGGGCCGTAGTTTGAGGACCCCTGAGTTAAGACATCCTCACCTCTTCTTTATTTTTTAAGGTACTCATGAGCCTCATTCTTTGTAGATGGAGGGTATGTGGAAAGAAGAGAGTAGAGTGAGGTGATTGGAGTAATTAACTTGAAATATGCATTTATACCGCAATGCCCACATGTAGGCCCCCTTATCTCTTAATGTTTAACGTTCTGGCAAATAGTTTTTTTAAAAGTAGCACCTCTGGCAATTTCACTCATTTTCCCCTTGCGTATGCTGTCCTATAAGCAGTAATAAAAAAATACACGACTGGAAACTGCTTTTTAAAAAGAATATTTAGATAGGAAAATTTTTTGTTATAATTCACAATGACCTTTAAAGCTCATAGTTGTTCAGCTCCTTGCCCTTGTTCTTGTCCTTTGTGAGTTTGTAGTGCTGGAAGTGTATATAGTTTATTACACTGTGAGTGTTGAGCCAGTCTCCAAACTGAATTTGTGCTACTGTTAAAATATGTGTTTAAGATGCTCTCATATTTTATAAAATAACAGAAGAATATATGAATTCACTTCATCATGTGGCTGTAAGGTAGAAAGAAAATTCATTGTGTTACAAACCAAAGAAATAAGGGGAACATAATAACTCTATGCTTTTTCTATGGTTAAAAGAATAGATTTGTTGATTTATCAAAAGGCATGCCCAATATAATTGTATAATCTATATATATAAAACCCTAATATGCAAATAGACCAAATGGTGGAACAGCCAAACAACCAGTTGCTATGATGTGTGCTGACCACCAAGAGGCGCATGCAGGACACGGCAGGCGTTGGCCTTGGCGGGATGGTGGAGCAGGTGAGCCGGGGCGCCAGACCAAGGCATGGCTTCGGTCGCTGTCATTGGGGCAAGCCTCTGGTGGTTACCGAAAACTCTTGCTCCCACGTGCCACAGTCCTGCCCGGTGCTTGCACCTGCTGCTGACGCCAGCCCCACTCGTACCCGCTGCCAGTGCCAAAGCTGCTGCCTGCACCCGCTGCCGACACCTGGCGCCGGCCCTGATCACTTGGCGCCATCAGCGGGTGTGAGCAGCAGCTGCTGGTCCCGATCACCCCTGAGGGCTTCTCCACCTCCCCCTGCTCCTGAGGGGTGATCAGGGCAGCAGCTGCTGCTTGCACCCGCTGACAGCGCGGGCCCCAATCGCTCCACACCATCAGCGGGTGCGAGTGGGGCTGGCGCCGTCAGCGTGTGGGAGCGATGGTGGCGGGGACGGGGATGCCAGCAGATGGGACCAGGCGCTGCAGCAGGAAGGGCCGGGTGGGGGCGTGGAGGATGGGCCGAGACTTCCTGTGCCCACTGCAGGCTCGCAGCCCACAGTTCGTTTCAAGGTGCACGAATTCGTGTACTGGGCCCCTAGTAAATTATAAAAGGCTTATGCTAGGTAATTTGGAATTTTGGAATAAAAGGGATATAACTGATTAATCTGTACATTAAGCTGTTGTGTATTTTCAAATCAACTCTATAAAGTGCTAATTTTTTTAAAAATACGCTTTTATTTTTAGAGAGAGAGGAAGGGAGAGGGATAGAGAGATAGAAACATTGATGAGAGAGAAACATCATTGATCAGCTGCCTCCTGCACACCCCCTACTGGGATTGTCCTGCAACCCAGGCATGTGCCCTGACTGGGAATCTACTAGTAACTGGTGATCTCTTGGTTCTTGGGTTACCACTCAACCACTGACCCACACTGGCTGGGCTATCAAGTGCTAAATTTTAGCAAAACTATTCTGCTACATTAGGTACATTTGGATTTTTAAATCCCTGCTGTAATGAAAGCCAACTCTGTATTTTATGTAACTTGATAATTGGTTAAAAGTTCAAAACAAAATTTAGGGTAGCTGTATTCTCCAGGCCTTCACTTGGTCCAGTAAGGTAGCCTCTAGCTACATGTGGCTACTGAGCACTGCAAGTATAGCTGGTAAGTATAAACTACATTCAATTTTCAAAATAGTACAAAAAACCCATGTAAAATATTTCATTGGTAGTTTTTATATTGATTAAATATTAATATATATTAAATGGTAGTATTTTGTAAATACTAGGTTAGATAAAGTATTAAAATGAATTTCACTTGCTTCGTTTTACCTTCTTAATGTGGCTATTAGAAAATTTTAATTATAAATACGGCTTGCATTATTTTTTTGTTGGGACAGCATTGGTCTAGACCAGCCTTGGGCAAACTATGGCCCGCGGGCCGGATCTGGCCCGTTTGAAATGAATAAAACTAAAAAAAAAAAAGACCGTACCCTTTTATGTAATGATGTTTACTTTGAATTTATATTAGTTCACACAAACACTCCATCCATGCTTTTGTTCCGGCCCTCCGGTCCAGTTTCAGAACCCATTGTGGCCCTCGAGTCAAAAAGTTTGCCCACCCCTGGTCTAGACTGTCACTTGGTCCAAATAATATGTGACAGGATGTTGAAAATAGATAAGAAGAGAGAATTGGGATAAATTGTAAGCATAGTCTGTCTCACTTGGTAATTGATTTCATGTGGTGGTTAAAGGGATGTCAAAGATAACTAAGATTTTTTATTTGGATGCTAAATGGATGGTAATAAGTTTAATCAAGAAAGGGAACATGAGCAGAAAAGGGGTACAGATAATAGCTGTTGTTATCTCACTGTACATATATCTTCACTAATTCATTGTAACATTTAGCATTATAAGATGGTCATGTTTAAGATTATCCTCCCCACCCACCATTTTCCAGGATTTGAATTCAGAAGATCAAAAAGCATCCAGTGTTGAACATATAAACTGCAGTGAGGGAGAAGATTGTGCAAATGTGAAAAAGAAGGCCAAAGTAGACATTCATTACAAAAATAGTTCCCATGAATTCACTGTTCCAGTTATTGGAAAGACTATAGAATTTCCTCTTAATGAAAACATCTATAATTCGACTTCATTTAAAGATGAGAAAATCATAGAGACTGATAGTGAGCCAGAAGAAGGTGAAATTACAGACTCTCAGACTGAGGACAGTTATGACGAAGACATTACCAGTGAAGACAATGTAACTGCAGAAGATACTGAGGATGAAGGTGAGTAAATAACCATTATTTAATTTTACACAAATAACTCAGTCTGGTTATTGTAAACATAGCAACACTGTTAAAAATGTTAGTATAATATATCTGCCAAAAATTAAACATTGTTTTAAATTGATTATTTTCATGACATCATTGAAAATTTTGTGGGCCACCATTGCTTATTCTTGGGGAGTAGAATGTAAATAAATGACTAACACTTGAACCTTAAGTTTCATTGCATTGAATGGCCTCATCAATAGAACACAAAACCAAGTTACCTATGCCTTAATCCTAAAGTATGTATTAAGTCTGTTTTAGTGGTTTAGATATTTATAGCACACTTTTATAATTGAGAGGGGGAGAGCAAATTGCCTTTAAAAAATGTAGTCCATGAATTCAACTATATAGGTATTATATAAATCTATTTTTTTTTTTACTTGAGGATATAAAGACATACTTTTAAAACCCAGGATTTCCTATTAGGGTATATGAGTTTATTTTGTTCTTAATGGAATTACTTATATTTTTAAAAAGGGTAGACTCAATTCTTCTAACTTAATATAAACATACTTGTTTGTGACATTTTTAAATTCCAAGACCTTATTTTACAATTGTGATATATGCTGACCTTGCTGAATACCTTTAGTTTGATCACTTTACATTGGTAACAGTGTTAAGCCTTACTAATTGTATGTCATATACCAGGATTTAAGAAGGTTGTTTAAAACAGAATTAAGACTTTTGATTAATAAATTTTTATTTTATGGATACCTCCTACTATCCCTAGACATGTTTAATTTTTTTTCCATAGCATTTGGTTAATATTTACCCACTTGTTTCTTTGACAGATGAGGAAAAAATTTGGCCCCCTTGTATTAGAGTAATTGTTATTAGATCACCAGTGTTGCAGACAGGATCACTTTTTATCATTACAGCTGTAAATCCTGCTACCATTGGAAGGTAAAATGTTTAATATTATTATATTTGTCTTATTTTAGTGGATTGTACATTTCTTGAGCAGTTATCATGAAATGTGCATGGTACTTGTTACTTGAGAACTTGTGCATGGTACCCAAAAAATATTACTGGCACTTACCTTTGTCACTTGGTTTTGGAAATCAGTTGAGGGTATGGCTTCATAGTGCCAAAAGTGGACTGCCTATATAAAGAGATAAAAATCTCAATGATACCTTTCACAGAGATTTTTGTCAATTTTCTTACCTTTTGTACTGCCTTTTTTAGATTTAAATTACTTACCTACACTCAGTATTGGCCTCTTTCTCTGCTTCTTTTCCTTTACCCCTTTGTACCTTATAATCAGCTTGCTAGAGAGGTAGGTTTTAATCATGAATAAGATAATTTCCTTACTTTCTAACTGGAAAAATAATCTATCCTTAATTCAGATTCTATGCAATACCTTAATTTTAAATTCTTAGAGAATAGTACATACCTTTTATATGCAGTAATAGAAATGGGAGCATAGTCAAGTCAATAGATCTGGAATAAGTAATTGACATTAGTAATTGACAATACGAAGGATATTTTGTCACTGAATGTTTATTAGCCTGGGATATATGTACCAAAGAATAAAAGTAATTCTGGAAGCTTTCAAGTAGGAAATTTAGAGTGTGATTAAGGAAACTGGTCTTAGTGTGATAGAGAGACTTGCATTTTAACATATCTTTTGTTTGTTTGTTGTTTAAAGTATTACATATGTCTCCTTTTTCCCCTATTGACACCCCACCCTGGCCACTCCCATCCCCAGGGTCAGGCCCCCACTGCCCCAGTGTCTGTGTCCATTGGTTATGCTAATATGCATGCATACAAATCCTTTGGTTGATCTCTAACTCGCCCCCCCCCCCTTGCCTCTTGTCTCTGGATCTATTTTTGTTCATCAGTTTATGTTGATCATTATATCCCACATATGAGTGAGATCATGTGATATTTATCTTTCTCCAACTGGCTTATTTCGTTTAACATAATGTTCTCCAGTTCCATCCATGCTGTTGCAAATGGTAAAAGTTCCTTCTTTTTTATAGCAGCGTGGTGTTTCATCATGTAGATGTACCACAGTTTTCTAATCCATTCATCTACTGATGGGCACTTAGGCTGTTTCCAGATCTTAGCTATTGTAAATTGTGCTGCTATGAACATAGGGGTGCATATATTCTTTCTGATTGGTGTTTCTGGTTTCTTGGGATATATTTCTAGAAGTGGGATCACGGGGTCAAATGGGAGTTCCATTTTTAACTTTTTGAGGAAACTCCATACTGTCTTCCATAGTGGCTGCACCAGTCTGCATTCCCACCAGCAGTGAAGGAGTGTTCCTTTTTCTCTGCATCCTCTCCAGCACTTGTCGTTTGTTGATTTGTTGATGATAGCCATTCTGACAGGTGTGAGATGGT